CCCCCCCCCCCGCCCCCAAGTGATTTATATCAGAATCACTGCATATTTAGTATTACTTTTGAACGATACTGTAGTGAAATCGTTCTTAAGCGTGAAAACTTTGGTTGACAAGTACACGTGTATATTTTGCAAAACTGCTCTGAAAAATTCTACGACGCACGCAACTGAAATTAGTTACGCTATGATGTCTTGAAAATATGCGGTCAATGACAAATGCATTGTTTCTTCGCCTTCGTATCTATCACGCAAGTAAACGCATCCAACCGAAATTAGCTGTGATAGTTGACGATATGCCGTCATTAACAAATTCATTGTTTCTTCGCCACCACCATATATGGAGGATGGTTCCCTTCTGAGTTTACAGAAGGACACACGCGCTTTAGTCCATGTTTGGCGGCACTCGTATAGGTTTATGGGATCTTCAATGTTAAAAAAAGTACTCAATTTCACTATTTAGCGTCTTAAAAAAGACCTTCAATTTAAATGCATTTTGTCTTAAACAGGGTTACAATCGAAGGGTTTTAGCAGTACAACGCCAACCAACCTTCCTTTAAATCTTTCCCCGGAGAAGTATCTTCCCTTATACATAACGATAACTCGGTACTGAACCGGCTTCGCCTTTTCTTTTTCCTTGTTAAAAAGCCGAGAGAGTAGAAGTAAGTGTTCCGTAACTCCTACACACAAAACGCCACCCCGGGGCATATACTGATGTTTCACCTTGGGCTGGCATTCAAGATGGGACTATATTAGAAGGCTCTTCTGAAAACGAGAAAAAAGTAAACGACTGTGGCAATGTCTGACGATTTAGACTGACAGAGATTGGAAGAAGCTGGGGTTTTCAAAATAGTGAAATAAAGGAATTTGGATAGGTTATTGAGTTCTCGTGACGTTTGCCACTACTGATGTTTTAATCATATTTTGCAAAAAAGGTAGACATTATTATCTCTTATTTCTTTGCGTAAAGAAGCAACCTCCCGGGCGATGACGATATTTCCACTAACTGAAAAAAACTGAATGATGAATATATAATTTCGAGTCGTTTTTACTCCCTCAGTAACGTCTGAATAAAGAGGAGAAAACAGCTCGAAGCCATGGTATGAAATTCGGGCCACTTGGGGCTTCGCTTGGCACCTTTTCACACTCTTCTCGCTTAACTTTCGCAGCTCGAGTTATTCACTTGTCTAGGAATATAGAAGCTTACAAAGCATATAATCAAGTTATACATCCATATGGCAACCATTGTCTCGACAAGGACAATGACTTCACTCCGACTGCGCGCTAAGTTTAACCTGATATTTTCAAATTTAAAAGTCTGCAACTTAATCGAGTCAAATTTTCGAGAAAAAGCTATCCACGTGTAGGTAACGCTAATCCGCTCTATAATCTGAAGATTTGTGATTATTTTTCAAGAAATTCGATAACCATGCAGTTTGGACAAAGGTCGTTTTCCATACTGAAAATACTGTAAAAAGCCTGATTTTCAATGTTAAAAGTCTGCACCTAATTTTCATTTATTTTACGTAAAATTTAGCTGGGATGATAGATTAACCCTTTAACTTAAAGAATTCCCTCTATAATGTTAAAGAAGTCATCTTTTTAACAACCGAAATGACGATTTTAGTCACTCTGCTGCGCCAAAATCGCCCGTTTTCTCTATTATATATATGCCGCTTTCTTGGCGCATTCATGCCTGATTAGTCAGCCTCAATGGCTCATTGATATGCGTAAATGTCCGACCATTTCTCCCGATGGATTTATTGATTTGATGTTGGATACACCATATGACAAAAATTAGGAAAAATTAGGACGTCGCCATGTCGCGGTAACTCTAATACTGTCACTGTTATTACCATGTGACCCTAAGAGCTGAGTCAAGCGTTCTTACTGTAGTAGAAGTCTCACATGAAATCATCCAAACTGTGCGGCTAGCAAGCACGTCTTAGTACTGGTGCGTTATTTTTAAGTTGTTGTCGTTTTGTTATGACTGTATTATGTCGATAAAGAAAGTAGATCCCTGTTTGAATATGTCACCGAATACTGCCCACATTGATACAGTACAGAGAAAACCATAGAAAGTACAATGATCAAATACAACTCAGTTCTTCAATGTCTTGATCATAGTCTTGGGACTCATGGATTATTCTATGGGCTGAGAATATCTAGTTAAACCTTACGTTGCTTCTTATATTTTCTCTTTTTATATGCCCATCAGCTTCGTTTCACATTTCGTTTGGCTTTTCGAAGATCATCCTCGTCCTTGTATTACTGTGATCAAAATACCATAGGCAATGGAAGTCTTCTTGGATCAGGAGATTCATGGAGAGCCGATCGCGACGAGACGTGTGAGTTTTGCTCAGGACAAACTATTGCAGACACTGGTTTTCGTTGTACAGACTACAGTAGCAGCGAAGATTGGTCAGTGGGTGAAAACAACTTTACTCACACTTTCTCAGCCGACACGACATGGATTGTAAGGTACGTTCCTTTATATAATCTTACTTTTTCTTTTTATAATTATGTAAATAAATATCATTATCCTTTCAGTTTCGCATTTGCTATTACGAAATTGAAGTCTTTATTGCCCTCGGTTTGTAACTAATATTGCGATTCTATGAGTATTTCTTAATGCATGTCTTGTTTGATGGCCCTCTTAAAATTTAGAATGGAAGTTTTATGGAGCTTTATCATGCTATTTGCTATCTTTCGGAAAAGCTTTTAAGCTTTTTAAAAATATGTCTTTTCATCAACTGAATTCTACTGAAAAATAACGGTTCATTTTTGTAATTACGACTATGTTTATGCAATGAAACTGTTTCCTGTCTTCTGTTGCAACGGATGACAAGAATGGACATGGATTGACACGTGAAAAAGTTGGACCAATCTTTTCAAGTTTTACCTGACTGCAAAAATCTCAAAAATGATAGTGCTCCCTGATGAAAATCGGTTGGACATCTTCCTCATAATCGATCATAGCTCTACAGGGGTCAATCAAGGGATGGCTGTTGGGTCAATTTAATAAAACATTTAGAAGTGTAATTTACAAGTGTAATCATTGTTTTAGGGTCTAAAAACAACGGCTACACTTGTAAAAGTTTTATTGAATTGACCCCAGGAGAATTTTGTGTATGGGTAAAAAAATAGATACTTATACTTGACTTCAGCACAGAATTGACCTAAAACAGCAAATTTGACAAAGCCGCTTTAAGGAAAGGTTATACAATTTTAGTAGCATGGCATGGAATGAAAATGTGATGCTACATTTATTTAGTAAAAGACAAGTATCACAGTGTTCCTACCTAAGCAGCCTATGTTTATCTTTGTTAATAGCTACACTGACTGCTGTTGGACGTCCTTGCAATCGAGCATGGGGTATCAGGATGGCCCTTTTCGTATATCGACGAAAGTTACTCTGACCCAGAGGTTAGATAATGGGAGAATTAACTCGTCTCCTGTATCAAGAAGTCCCGCTATTATCAGGTGGTCTGAAGGCTGCTCCCGGTCTCTAAGGATACCTGTTGAGGACGGGGACGGAGATGTGGTAAAATGCCGCTATGCAAATGACTTCGAGTCCCTCATTTATGACAGTTTTCCTCATGGCATATTAGATGAGGTGATGAATCATTTCTGTGTTGCACTTTTTTGTATAAGAATGTGGGTTTTTTTTCCGGCCCAAGATGGATATTTTTCATTACTTTTCTAACGAAAATATAGTAGGCTGAAAATATTCTTGTATTATTCTTAAATTATAGCTTATGTCATTTCTGTTTTAGAAAATATGGGGTATGGGGGTATTTTATTAAAATAAACACTAAATGACTCAGTGGCGGATCTAGACCTTCAGATAAGGGGGGGGGGGGGGGCTCAGTTTGGTCCAAAAAAAGGGGGGGCAGACCCCGGGCCCCTTCCCTGGATCCGCCACTGTGACTGGTCCCGAGGGAAACAGTTAGTTTCGTTTCCTGAGAATCTCAATAGGGAGCTTAAGCGACGACGACGACGATGACAATGAGAACGGCAAAAAAGCAATAGGTTTGTATTTGCAAAACAACAACTCTGCGCGTGATCACGCTCTTTTGTACATTTCTTTGCCGTTGTTGCACGACTACAACGTGAAACTGTCTAATCATTTCACGTTTTCTCGACTGGGACGGGAACACAAGACAACAACTTCCTTTTTCTTTTTCTAGACTTTGATACAGTCCTTTCGAATTCAACTCAAAAAAAATTGCCAACATTTGACGAATTAAACTAGATGGTATAAGCGCAATAAAGTTTGAGGCAGCGCAAATTCACTTTTTACATGAGGTTTTTGCAGCCGTAGCCGTTGTTGTTGCTTAAGCTCTGTAATGTTTCCCGAGGCAGTGCTGAAGAAACTTTGAGATTCGAAGGAAACAAAAGTAACTGTTTCCCGAGGAACCAGTCTTTAGGTGATTTGTTACATAGCTGGAAATTTTGAAGCTGGAAAATCCTCTCGCTGTAACGTACGGCGATCGTCCGTGTCAACATTCGTGGGTAACAGTAGTGCATTCCCTGTGCACTGGTGTTACCCTTTGATGTCACAGATTTTGTAATGTTGACGGCTCAGAGTTTTGCGGGAAACAGTTCATATTGTTAGATAGCACGTGACCTCGAAGTAACTAATGAGAGTGCGCGCTGTTGGGAAAAATTTCCAGCCATATACAATTCTAGTTAGTGCAGGGTTTTTCGTTTTGTTGGCTATAGTTTTGCCGCTTAGAGAAACTGAAAATTAAAGAAATGTAACAATATTTGTATAAAAATAATTTTATTGTATTTACAGATTTTCAGCGAACAAAATCATATCCTTTATTCTTGAAATAATTAAAGTTTCGCAAATCTCAACCTCGAAATTCTTATAGATATTATATTCGTATATAAAAAAGGAGCGCAGCGTACAACTTGTTCATACACCTCACAGTGGCAGCTGCAGGAAAAATGAAACATTGATCAGTCACATTAAACATAGCACCATTTATTCATTTCTAAAACAAACCATTTTCTGTTTGTTTCCCTTTTGCAGAAAACGTGTTTGCTATCGTATAATGGGAACAATGGAACAGCTGGTACTTACGTTGTAGCATTGACATTAGAAGATTTCCCAGCAGGAACTACAAACTTCGATGGCGTAACTCCATTCAGTTCTGTGGGACTGCAGTTTCTTGTCATAATAAGCAGCTATTCTGGTTCTTGTAGTAATGTTTCTGTGTTTTCTCCCTTAACACCTAACGATGGAGAATGCACCGAAGTACAGATTGGTTCAATGTACAGAGCTGTCATTGAGGTTACACTTGTAGACGTTTCAAAACGGTGAGCAATTTTATATTTTATTTTGACAAAATGGCAATCGGTTGGTGAAGGAAACATTTTTCCAAATTTTAAAGGAATAATTTAATACAAGTAACGGTCTGTGTTCGAAGCAAATGACAATACCAGGTGCAGTTGTATCTCAGTTTGTGTCCAATGAACCCGTCACGCTAGTAAAGGTAAAATTGCAGGGGTTGCATTTCAGCTTTTATACTACTACATGAGAAATTTGTACAATTTGATTGGCTTAGAGCGGTGGTATTTCAACTTAATTTGAAATACCTACATGTGAAAATAACAAACCTTTTGTGGGTAGTAGTATAAACAAATAATAGCATGATTTGCACGTGGTATTTGGCATAAATACCACTTGTGATATTTCAAAATTTCACCCGCCTAACGACTAGTGAAATTTCGTATGACAATTTTGAAATATCACTCGTGGTATTTCTGCCAAATATCACTACAAATCATGCTATTACCTATACTAATTTGTACTCATCTATCGCCAGAAGCCAATCTTAATTATATAGTCTGGGTCCCATTATGAAAAATTCCACGACTGCTGGTAGAGCGATAACAACTAAGAGAAATATAAAAGGAAAGTCGTTCAGGTTATTCGAGATCAGAAGGTAATCAGCACATCAACTTAGTATGTAAAGATCGAATATGTTATGGGCTATTCCTGGAAGCGGAATATTTTGTTTTTAGTATTCAATATTCAAACTGTCTATATTTAATATTTAGACATCAATATTCAATATTCAGACTTCCATATTTATCTTATTTTCATTATTCAAGCAATTTTTTCTATAAGAGCCACATCCGTTATTGCAGGCTACCAAGACACAATGTATTCCTTTGCAATGAGTACTACCTAATGGCAGAGGTCGTTCAGAAAATATCAAATTATAGACAAGACATGCTCCTAGTTACATTGCAACAGACTATTATGTAAAACTGTGAAAGGTTTGAGCCCGGGAGTCATTTCAAAAGTAGGTTGAGTTTGATCGTCCGGGTGAACGTATCGAATATAGGACTGTTGTTGTTTCTATTGACTGTCAACAACAGTCCTATTCAGGACTACGTTCACCCGGACGATCAAACTCAACCTACTTTTGAGACTATTATGTGTTGGTAAACGTTGATAGAAAAAGGCTTGACCTGGTTACAAACATTGGCCCTGTCCCGGGGGGGGGGGTACTCCCTTATGTTGTAGGTTATATATATAGGTATGTGCCATGCCATCGGGTTGGGTTTTGGAGCCGTTTTGGTCTGAAAACGGGTATACACTTTGCCCATTTTGGTCTGAAAACGGGTATAGTTTTCGAGGGAACTACGGGAGCGTATGAACGTATTTATCGTTCGAATTCCAAATGAGGAAGAAAGAAAGAGAAATATGCGAATTCGAAATGTATTTGAAGATTTTTTTTGGCTCTCTGTTTGGAAAAAAAAGCGAGGAAAAGGAAGGGAAAGGGGGAAGAGAGCCCTTTTCGCTTTTCCCTCTCCCCAGTTCCCCGCTCGACCAAAGGCCTGTTCACGGGCTTTTTTTTTTTTGTTGTGCTCTAATCTAAGTAATACTAATGAATCACATAACCAAGCCGACTGTGTGAGCCCATGTTCCTTGGTCTACCCTAGCCAAGGAACACGGGCTCACTGGATGGACCGGCCCGACAAAACATCAGTCGAACATAATGAAACATAAGAAATAGTGAATTTTCTAGATAAATAAAGATTCATTATTCAAGTACATTTATTCATATTCAAACTAAGTTTTCAAATATTTAAACTAATCTAAACTCAATATTCAATATTCAATATTCCGCTTCCACCCCTGAATGTTATTTTGAAATTTCAGCATTGTTGAGATAGTGACTGCCTCTCCACCTGGAATGCATCTTACTCCTTTAAGTGAGCGTAGTGGAGTGCATTACAGAAATGTCACGTGGTATCCCAACCAAAATCAAGTTGGACAACAGTCGTTTTGCTTTAAGGCAGTTGACTCCTCGGGGTGAGATGGTGATTTAGTTATACTTGACTTATAGGGCGAATAGTTAATAGCATAAAATGATATACTAGGTATTTGCGCGAGATTTTCCTGTAAATTTTTATGAGGCATTAATGAAATACGCTAAAAAGAAATTTGTAATGAGCTCTTAGCATTGATATATTTCCAAACATAACATATCACGTGAAGATGAAATAATCAGCATGTCACGAGCGTGGGAGAGAGAAAGAAACTGATTCCCCGACAGGATTCGAACCTATGACCTCCCAAACACCTACCTCTACTCTAACCCAACATTAACACTTCCTTCTCACTTAGGGCAAAATGCTGGCTTAGGGGAGGGGTAGGTATGCAGTTTCCCAGAAAGGTATTGATAATGATCCAAAAAATAATTTAGAAGGGAGCGAGGGTTCGCTCAAGTTTTCTTGCATATCTCGCTTTGCACCATTCCCACAGTCTGAACCTCTGGAACAGGCTAAATTTACACTTGATATGAAGTTAAAGGAAGTCGAGTTTCATCTTATGATCAGCACTGATTTTATGGACCAAATTTTGGCCCAGAGCCTTTATACTTTACTGGGTTGTTCCCAGAATCGTGGATCCAAGCTGGTCTCCTGTTCATCGTCTCCATCTTTTTGGTTTAGTTGCGAATGTTGTAAACGTTGCACAAATTAATCGGGATTCAATTTATCTACAGAAACATTTTAGGAATGCTTATTCTTTTTTCCCTCTTTCTCGTAGCATGGGAACTGAATGGCGATGCGTAACCATTCTGGTGGGAATAAGTAAGTAACCGTTTAATCCGTAAAAGAATAAAATACCTGAGACACCATGGTACCATAGCAGAAGCTTAGAAGCGAGTACTAAGCATTGGATTCCCTAGAACAAACAAAAACAGTGTGCACACGTAGGTCCCAAGGTCCATTTTTGTACCCAAGAACAGGGTCTTGGCGCCATGTTGGCACTAGTACCCAGCTATTTCCGTCGGGGGCAACGCCCTGGCACAAAGTGTGAACGCTGCCTTAGATAAGGACCAGATGTTATCCAACGGGTGAATAAATACCGATGGAGGATCTTCAAGGATTGTCTTTTTCAATAGCTTTAACTTGCTCGGATATTTGTTTTCACTGCCTGTGCTGACTCGCGAATGTCAAGGTTTTAGAGTTTTTTTTTTTTCATTATTATTTTAGAAATAGATTACAATTTTTTTGTAGGTAGCACACCTCGTGTCATTCTGGGAAGCCAGACAACACAAAGTCCGCCCAATAACAGTGAACCGGGCTATGTATGGTGGAGTATACAGTTTGATCGCGCGGTAAGAACAATTACGGTCTACTTTGGTAGGGAAAAAACCAATCTAGCAGAGTCCTCCTTAACTTTACACATTAGACGAGCATCAGCATCCTCACTATTCCACAAAAAATGAATGTCCACAAAACAACCTACCTTCTTTCTATCTTTCTTTTTTTTTCCCTCAACCTCCATTTGTATTAAGTGATTTAGTTTTCTTAATAATGTTGTCAAGCGCAGAATCATCATGTTTTTTAACTAATTACTTCGGCGGAGCGCGAAGTAAAGCATTCGCGACGCTCAGGAATGTATCAAAGTTACCATTTTTTGACAAGACTGGGCATGCAAAGTCTGTAGGTTTTCGGTTTTATTCCGCTATTTGACGAAGTGAGAGCCGAATTAGTTCGAGATATCTCGAGATCACTTCGAGTTTTTTGATTTATTCCTTAACTTTTTCGAGGAAGAAAGAATTGTTATTTTCTTCCCCGGGGTTTGAACCGACTCACCTGTGTGACCCATCAGGTCAGAGGATACCCTAAGTTGAGGGATTAGCCGATTGCGCTACTGCGACCCAAGGTAGTTCAGAATATGATATGAAAAAGAGTTATGAAATCATGCACTAGTTTCGGGACAAGATTGGGCGTGCAAGTTCGCGACGTTTCGGCTTGTTTCGGCTATTTCACGAAATGAAACCAGACTACTTTGTGATATCTTGAGATCACTTCGAGTTTAGTCTTTAATTTACTCGAGGAATAAATAGAGGATATTATGTGGCCGCGCAGAGACACGAAATTTCTCTTCGAGTGTTGAAAAACATTTCATGAGTGAGCCCTCCTTTCGAACTGCTTTATGATGAATTTAAAGTTACAAAATGGTGCACAAAGACATTTTGTCTTTGTTGAGTGTTACGTAGTAAAATTGTTTTCATGCGTTGCGTGACTTTCTCGAACGTTCTCTACTTTTTGGATTATTCATGAATAATTAATTTGGGCATGTTTACATTTCAGCATGAGTCAGCAGATTTGCATCAGTTACTGAAATCATAAAATGTGTCGAAAAGCTACACTATTCGCTCGTTTAGTATTTTCTAGAGCCTTATGTCAAACGGTATACAAGTTCCAAGCGAGGTCTTTTGACGGACTAAGTTTTTTTCTCACGAGCTGGACTGCTGTGGTTAGTCAAGTGTGACGAAGGTCGATTTTCAAGTTCTGTGTTTACAAGTTGGCGGAAGCCGTAAGATATGTGAAGTTCAAGTGAGAGTTTGTTATTATTGGTAGAGGCTGTTTAGTTGTACTTAAGTTCAAGTCAAGTTTGTGTTGGCGGATGCTGTGTTTTAAAGCTCTGAAAAGGCTATGTTCCTTTGGTATTAAACTTCCTTGTGTTAATCCGACATTCCTGCGTGCTGATAGTCAGTGAATAATTATCCTCAAAACATTCGAACTCGTAACAGCCAATTCCATGCTCAACGTAATTGCCTCCTTACCCATGCCTTACATATCTTTAATCAGTACATGAGACTGCAATGTGTTTTTGAAGCCTGATAAGAATTCTTTTTTCACTGTTTGGTTTGTTAGACTTGTTATTCACCGCCAGTAACCTCATATTTGACTTAGGTCTAAACGTTTAGACCCAAGTCAAATTTAGAAGGATTTGTATAGAGTCATCAGAGCATAACTTGGCTAATATCTCCGAGACAATTTGTCTCGAAATGCTAGTTTTTGGCAAGTAGCCCTCTTGGATGTTGCTCTTTTCAGAATATCCTGACAAATCCCATAATTTCACAAATTAACACCTTACTCTTTCCTTATTTCATTTCTTACTATTCCTCCGCATTTACAATTAAACAGTCCACAACCACTACGCCGAAGTGTACGCTCCGTAGCGCCTTGTTTATCCTGAAAAAAACAGCGGACATTAGGCAACGCTTCCACTGGTTTCCCCACCAAATGACGCCTGAGAAACGAGCCCAGAAATTCCATACTGATGACGCGTCACTACCCAGATCTGGGTAGTGCTTCTAATTGGTACTGCCGCGTGGGAAATTTGATTCAACCAAACAGAAGCACTACCCAGATCTGGGTAGTGACGCGTCATCAGTATGGAATTTCTGCGCTAGTTTCTCAGACGTCATTTGGCGGGGCGACAAGTGGTAGCGTCGCCAAATGTCGGCTGTTTGTTTTTTTCAGGCTACAACTAAATCAAGTCCTCCAGTCATGAAATCTACGTTGCTGTTCACCTGTTAAATTAAAAAATAGCACGGAACTTGAAATTACATATCCGTTATACTGGCTAAACATGAAGCTAAGTATTGACCAATTGCTAAGCCATTTAAGCAATCTTGACCAGCGTGGTTAGAACAAAACTTCTTGTAGAAAAAAAATAGCCTGCGAAAACAGCCGTTTCTCCCGGCTTTCCATCGCTTTAACGGGTTCTCCAGGAGAGAAGTCTGTGCCTAAGCCACAGAAATCAGCCATACTAATGACGTATAATCTGTGCGGAATCTGGTCAGGAGCTCTGATTGGTCGAATTAGTAGCTGTATTGTTTTAGCTGTTGTTTACGAATGACAGACCAAAGACAAAAGCCCACAATGGTCAAATGTAACCGCGATGAATCTATAACAGAGCAGTCAATATTCGTGGAATTTATTCTTTTCTAGAAGAAGCATTTGAGTCTAGGTGGAGGTCTTTCGCAGATAAAAACAAAAAAATACCCATTAAAATCGACCAGGAGAAACATAAAATCGAACAAATTTGCATTTGGAACCCCATGACAACCGGATTGATTATGTAAACATTTATTAACGTCATCAGTATAGAATTTCTGTCGCTGAAGCGCAGACGTCTCTAGCTCCTAGCAAAACGTCTCAAGGGACGAGGAAGGAGGAGAAACGGCTGTTTTCGCAGGCTAGAAAAAAAAATCGAGCAATCCCAAAAGGGCCTATCTTGCCCACTCCTGACTTATCCGGCCAGCTCGCGGAGCCATTAATAAAGCAAGCTATTAACATAATGGTTTGTAAACAATGCAGATAAAGAAACCTCGTACTTCTTCCTATATCCGGCTCGTTCTTCTTCCCAGTGGTCACACAGTTCATAAAGTGGACGCACTCTCTCAGTTTGTCATAATCAACAGTGATCTTACCACCCTGCAGTTTGCAATGCCCTATGCTGCATTAAGTATGAACAGCTCGTACGCCATCTTGATGGATCGTGGTGCAGTGGTTGGACAAGGGTGTTCGTATGGTGGACCTCCCACACCAGGAATAACTAACACAAGTGACTGGCAGTTCACTGCTGGTTTTTGTCCGGTCGGATATACCCTTGCTCCACCAGATTTTTCCAACTGTGTTGGTACGTATATATTAGTTAGCTTTTTCCAGATTACACATTATTATTTATTAAAAATACTCTAAGTTTCTTGTTCGCTCAAATTCCCTGGCTAATTCTCCTTTTGCAATATCCGGTAAAATGACGTCAAAAGTACAGATTTTTGCCAGAAAAAGGGAAAGCAGCCGAGAAGCCCTGGGTAAGAGGTTGCGTAAGCTCAGTTGTTCCTGGAAAAATTTGCCGAAATTTCACACGTTTCTTGAAAAACCAACCTTTTTTTTTCATACAAAATCCTTCTAATTTTCGGAGGCTGTTGAAATCGCTACTTTTGAGATATAGGGCTGAAAATTTACCTAATTTTAATATGCTCTTTCAGCTGGCACTAGCAAAAGTTTTCAAAGCAAACTGTTTTCGCGTTTAATGAAGGTTGATCACGTGATCAACTAATGCAAAAGGGTTATTATCAATATTTATTTGGTGACAACTTAGACAGGGCACCCAGCTCCGGTTTCCTTTTGGACGATATTTGAAAAAGTTTAATGCTACCACTAATAAACAGTCCCAAGAAAAAATATATAGAAGCTTTAAAAAATTGGTATTTTTTCAGTCACACAAGTATAGTAAGGGCAACTGAATGTTTTCGAAATTGCAAGAACTTCAGTATTATTATTCTTAGACGCATTTTAAAGCCGTAAGAAGATGTTCTTATACACACATCCTCCAAATCGAAGACTTATTTTTCCTTTTTATACGAAATATAGCCAAACTTGAGGAGGGAAGTGTGAAAAAGTATACTTCTAAAAATGGTAGGGAAGATCATAAAAGAATGCAGGCGTTAATGTAGAACTTGCCAGCTGCCCTCTAACTGTAGAATATTCTATAGGAAAATTCATTACCTGAAGAGGAAATTCCGCGTTAAATAGCGCGCGAAAACTAATATCGCACGAATCGCAAAGCCTACAGTATTTCGAAAGTTCATTTCTGTTGTTTGCAACGTTTGATTTCATGTTTGAGAGACATTTATTTCTTTGATACAAACCTTTAATCTTACCATTCACAAGTAATCTCAAGTTCCATAAGGTTAAGGTGAATAAGGACGCGTAATTTGAATTATTAAATTACTAAGCAAAATGACCTAGACAGCCGTAATACAGTCCCTTTGAAGTAGCTTCCCACGCAGACGTTCTTATGGGGTTCGTCACGCGTCTTTGTGGAAGGCTACTTTGACGAGGATCAAAACTCTATGAACTTATTACTTATATAATGTACACTTTTAATTTAGTTTGGTAACTATCTTTTATTTCAGCAATATCACCAACAAAAAGTTCTTCTTATATGCCATTTACTATATCGAGTTCTGGTAAGTAGATAAAAAACTCAGTTGTTTGCCTTTAGAGTTAAATTCAAGAAGGCTTACACTTTCGAGCCTACTTGGCTTGAGTGAGGTTTGTTTTCCTAAAGTAGGCCACGTGAGTTTTTCCCCTGAATTAATGGGTACCACGTAAATAAGACAAAATTTGAAAGATACTTGTCTCTAGAGTAACATATGTTATATTTTACAAACCTTCAGCATGCTATTGGCATTACGCAGGGGGGAGAAGATTATATGCAAATCCTCACTTTTCCCCACTTTGAAGACCCCAATGATCTAAAAAGAATTACAGTGGCTTGACCTAGTGAACGGATACTAATTAAAAGTGACGTCAATACCTTATTACTGACTAAGAAAAAACAAACTAACAGCTACTGCAAAAAAGATATTCTCGCAACAACAAAGAATTGAGGAAAAAAAATAAGGTGACTTTTGTCATAAAGCAATTTATGGATTTTTTTTTAACGTTTGATGGTAGAGTTCAGTCATCACTGATTTTTACATAGACCATAATGCACCGTGTTTAATTTTGCATAAGCATTGTTTCCAATTTCTCCTGAGTTTTGGTCTATAGTCATCACAAGAGAAAACGAAGACAACGGCTATGCAAAATTTTGGTCGGTAAACATCTGTTACCAACTGTTAATTTTGGTCTATGTGAAAATATCGAATGGTTGTTTTTCATCGACACCTCAATTACCTCTTTCCAGCTTTTCAAAACAGGGAGCTGATAGAATCCGATGCGCCGATAACTTCTTGCAGAAAGTGTATAGCAAACTGTAGTTGTTATTTTAAATGGTGCTGTATAGTCTACATAAAAAAGGTAAACGAAACGCTGGGACGATAATTTTATTTCTTTCCTCTTCAGTTTATCTTGTTTTCACTCATTCTAATTACCCCTAGAATGCTACAACTACAGCAACCTGAATGACTCGGTTAGAGCACAAGGCTTCTACAACAGATACTATGGCTATTACCAATGCGATAGCAACCTTCCATTTGGATGGTATCGATTTAGTGGGTCAGCAGGATCTCAAATGGCCACTAGTTGTGTAGGTAAAAATCACTGCAGTTCGCAGTCGCCGGGATGGTTAAGTACCCCGCATCCTTCAAGGGATGATGGGATAGTCAATGGTACAGTGTGCTTCCACTGGGAGAGTGGTTGCTGTCACTGGTCGACGAATATACGTGTTCGTAACTGTAGCGGGTTTTACGTGTATGAGCTTGGACCAGCCCCAACATGCCATTTACGTTACTGTGGAAACGGAGGAGGTATGTTGCATCTTTTACAACAAACCGGAAAGGTATGGCCTGTGTGGCAGGCGGAAACAAGGGGTCCCTTTCCTTCTCTCCCAAGTTTAAGTTTAAGTTGAAGTTTAATAATACTTTGTCATGCTAATACAAGAAAATAAATAATATTACAGAAAATACAAAAAGTGCATGATTGGACAATAATTGGGGGAAACTAAATTCCCATACAAAGGATATTCTCCAATGTTAAACATACTAAAAATTAAAAAGTAAAATTTAAATCCGGCCCAAAACTAACCTAATAAAAGTTCATACCAAAATTGACACTAAAATTAAGAAGTAAAATTTAAATACGGACCAAAACTATATACTTGTCACTCACAAGTTACACCTGATTTGAAATTGACACAAATGATGCAATAGATAGGACTTAAAACTGCTTAATGAAGGTGCGCACATAATGTTCGATGGAATACTATTCCAGTCTGTTATGTAGCGATTAAAAAATGAAAATTTAAAGTAATTTGTACGTGTCTTCTTAGGTCATATCTTACAATTATGGTTCCTACGCGTTTTTGCTAATACATTAAAGTCAAAAAAACATATGAGTATCTATGCTACAGTGTCCGAAAATAATCTTGTAGATCTGCACTAAGCAGATAAACTTTTTTCGTAACTCAAGCGAAGGCCATTTCAGAATCCCAAGTCTCTCCTGATATTCTTTCTCTTTTCGCTCCCTTCCCCCCTCCCCCCGCCTCTCCTGTTTCCCTCCCTCCTTTCCCTTCCCCATTTTTGCGTCTGTCACGCAGGCTAGAAAAGTATAACAACCACTCTTTTTCTAACCGAGAATCTCTGTTAAATTGCTTTGACAGCTTATGATTCAACTTCAAGTCTTGACAGGATTTCGCCTACCCCAGGTATTTAATGTTGCCTTTTTTTCATATGAAAACATGAGCCAAGTTTAGAGCAAGTAATCCGTAAGGCCAGTAGGGTTTGAGTCCACATATTGAAAGTTACTCATTTTAAGACCAAAGTAGAATGATACTA